GGCGGGGTGGGGTGAGGAGCAGAAAAGGCCTTGACTCTGTGCAAGCCCTGCTCAGCAGTAACGAAAACATCCCTGTGTTATCAACACTGTTTCCCGCACAAATCCAGAACGTAGCCTCATACTAGCTCCTGTGAACAAAATTAACTCTACCCCAGCTAAAACCACCAGCACAGGGATGCTTATGCTTTATTACAGTTTAAGGAATTTTTCTTACTAAGTGTAAATTTTTACCTGCAATTTATCCCAAGTTAAACATTCTTCTGATAACTTTCTTTCCTGCTGTCTGTCAATGTGCTGATGCTCATCCAAGGTAGTTGGATGACGCTGTGTGCTCCAGGAAGCACAGTGTTTAAAAATGGCCTCAAAAAGTCATCTTCCTAAACTTTAATTCTAGAGGCTGTTAACCTTTGTAAAATACAAATTAGGCAAATTATCTTAGGCTTATCCAGTCTCCTAAGCTCTAAATATTGAGTTAAATAATCATCACCATAAGATAATTAAGTAATCACCCAGCTGGATTTGTTAAATGATGCTGTTATTTCAAAACCTAATCACAAAATTAATTTCTGTAAATTATTGCAAAACCTGGGAATGGCTAAGGTCAGCAAAAGACACAGCTGGATCCCTAGGATTTTTCTTGCCTTGGTGTTATTTGTAGGAGCTAGGATTTACCATGGAGACTCATCCTTTTCATTCCAAAACTTAATGATGTTAAAAATTAATGCAGTAGAGGGAATGAATGCGTAAGCTTTCTCTCCCTGTTACTTTTAAGTAATGAAGTTCATGGCTGTAGACCTTTAGTCTGTTTAAGAAGGAGCAAATTGAAGTGGCTAGCTGTCGAGAACCTATAAGAAGCAAGTAAACAATATATTGCCCACAGGGGGGAAAAAAAGAGGTAAATTGCATTTGCTCAGGCTTAGCCTTGATTGCACATACCTGAGAACTACTTGTACAAATCCCTGGGTATTTGGTACGAGGGGGCATCCAGCAGGACCACCAGCACTGGGTTTGCTGGCTGGGAAGCTCCTGTTGGCATGTTGCCAGGCGGTGTGGTACCGGGGCGGCGAGCGTGGGCCAGGCCTGGCGGCTGGTTAGCTGTTGCGCCGAGCTGTATTCCTCGTGCGTGATATTGCCTTGCTCATGGGATAAGAAGTCGCTGAGTGAAAAGAAGTCAAAAATAGGGGTTTTTTTAATCATTAGGCCAATCTACCTTGGTATTTTGAATGAGGGAATGTAAATACAAATGCTGTCAGTTCTTACCTGATTTTCACTTGTCTGAGCACAGGGAAACATTTTAGCTGGCAAATGAAGGTCTGTAAGGAGAAGGACAAGGAGAGAACAAGAAGTAACGTTTTTCCCTCAGTAAGTCACCCCAGATTGTTCATGGCAGCCCCAGCATGTTATTTCTTACATCTGCATCTTGGGGTGTAGGGGGAAAGTCACGGGGATATTTTCCTTCTGCAACACTGAGGTTTTTCCTTTCTTCTCTTCTCAATGCCTTGCCATTGCCACAAGAATGGTGGGGTAGGTGGGTGCCAACCCTTGGATTAGATTGTATCCACCCAGTGCAGGGGAGGGAGGATTTCCCTGATATGAAGACTTGAGAAAGGTAGGTTTAAGTCCTCCGTGGTGGGTGCAGGGATTTCAGGAAGGCAGAATGACTGAAAAGGCCAAAATTGGGAATATGGTGTAGGCACCTGTTTGCATACAGTTCTCTTGCTCCAGACAGAGGCCACCTTCTGTAGAGGAGATGGGGTTTATATATAGAAGGCCAAGTGCAGAAAACCCCTGTAGCATTTCAGGGCAAGATTCAGCAAAGCACTTCAGTGTGTTAAATTTTTATTCATTTGCTATCTTTTCTCTTAGCCTTGGGATGTTAGCAGAAGGGCACATCTAAATGAGTAGTTACAGGTGGACCCAAGCAGAGCCTCCCTTTGCTCTGAGCTGGCAGTTCCCAGGCCAGCCCTGAAGCAGGAGCTGCACAGCTCAGCAGCAAGCTACTCCATCTGGCTCAGAGGCACCTAGTGAAATACGTGCTGTGTTAAAGGGGTATCTAGTATGTGATATTAAGCATAAATTATTTTCCCGTTCTGTTGTATCCTTCAAATACTTATAAACCCTATAGAACCATTCATAGTTAAGCACGGGCATGTTGTCCGTTGTCTCTTTCTCTCTATCTTCCTTTTCCTCCTCTCTACTCTTCTTCCCATGTTGTCATACTGCTCTCCTCTTAAAGTTTAGGAAGCCCCCCTACACGTTTGTATTATTTGCCATTGCAGGTCACTGTAGAGTAAGTTCCCATCCTAGAAGGATTCAAGGATTCCTCTGTAGCTGAGTGCATGAAATGCAGCTGTCTGTCAGCTCCTTCCCTTTCTCCTTGCCTCTCTCACTGTCCATTTTAAGAACTGTCCATGCACTGAGTGTAATGCCTTTTCCTACATTAGGCCAGTTAGTCTGGGCTTAATCTAGTGGTGATGAGAGAATCCTGTACTGTGGCACTGGACCAACCATGTATGTGTGGTGAGATTGGTCTGCACGTGGTATGTGAGCCTGGTATTTTCCACGCGTGAGCACGCTGAGCACATGCTATCGAGCCATCTGCTTGGGGAGCTCTTCTGGCTCCTGGGATAGAGATCTTATGGGGAGTTGGCTGCTGCCAAATGGTTTATTCAGTCTGCTGCTCTCTCCAGAGGAAACCTTGGGGAAGGGTGGGCTGTAGGGCACCCTGTCATAGGAGCCATGTTGTTACACATCCTTGCATCCTAAGGATCTAACAGCCTTGGAGTTAAGCTGCATCCCAAGCTGTCTAGCTCCTCAGGTACTTAGCCCAGAGTGGGGAGAACCTTGGGGTCATTTGGTATCATCATCTTGGTCCAACTATTCCAGCACCCTGGTCACACTCCGTGGGGTCCCTGTAGCAGCTGCAGTACCTTAAGGCAGGGTCTTTTACTGTACTGGGATTCAGGCATCAGCAGTAGAAGTAATGGGCAACTCCACTCTTCCATCAAATTGTTTCTGTTAGACGTTGCTGGTACCAGGTCTGTGTGCCTGAGCTCAGCATGCAGGTCCCGCTCCATCTCAGCATGAGGAGTTTTTCTCCATCTACTGCACCATCTCCCTCAGCTCTTACTCTCCTGCCTCAGGGGAAGTGGGCCCTGGGGTGGGAGTCATCATTTCCACTTCCACATTGGAAACTCTTTTACAAGGGAGTTGAAGTAACATGAGTGGTGGTGATAAATTGAATTCCTTTCTGGGTTGGGTCATCAGGCTTGCCTTTTTTCCCCTCTCTTCTGAGCCTGAACATGTTAAAGGAGAGACCAAGACAGTTGCATTAAGCATAATGCTACATGCAATCATATTTTTCAAACCATCACTCAGGAATCTGTTGCTGGGCTGCGTGTGGCCTGTAGTTCATGGGCAGTTAACCGAGCACTTCAGCTTTGACTAGTATGTTTTACTTAACAATTGCAACAGGCTTGGAGCCTACTGGGTCAGCTGCTGATAACCTGATTGTCTTCAACTGTGCAAATGTACCCTCAGATATTTCAAAATGAGGGTATCTGGGTGATGGAGGGGTGGAAAGGAAGGTGGGTACAAGTATGTATGTACATGTATATCCACAGTTACACAGTTGCAATTTCTTCTACTGACAAAACCTTATACAGGCACCGAAATACACGAACCTACATAAGATTTGCCTTTTGTGTAAGGCCTTTGCAAATGGGGATACTTGCAAAGGGAAGTTGTAAATAATTGCAGTTGTCAGCCTCCCTCTGTCTCTGCTCTCTAAAGCTTCAGAAGAGAAGTGATTGACCAGCTTTGTTATTCAAAGCATTTCCCTTAACAGCTGAATCCTGTGGGAGATTCTTCTTAGAGCAGCTTTCCTCTGCGGTGGACTCTCCTGACAAGATCACAGACAGCTTTTGGTCTCCGAGTGTCATGATGAACATCTAGTTAGGTCTATTTTTACATCCAAAATATGTTGAAAGATGCTATGCAGAGAAGAAGCAGTACAGTAAGATTTTGAAGTAGTCTATACAAGGTAATGCTTTTGGGGACAGCATGCATTTTCCTTCCTGTTCCTGAAATTTCTTATGTCTATAAAATTGTAGGAGTTGAATTAGCACCAAGAAAATAGTCATGACCATACAATGTTTTTATTTTCTCTTTTTGCACCAAGACTGAAATTCTGTGCTCTGATGCGTCCTTTCCAGCTTTGAAATTTTCCAGTAAAATAAATCCATTGTGGTAGTTACTGCTATTCTAAACAATTAATTGGGAAGAAAAATAATGATACACATGTGTTCTTCTTCACCCTTTTATTCTGCCTTGAGTGCTGGTACAGTGTCAGAACAGGCTTTCAAGGCATGAGAGAGAAAATACTTTGGCCTGAGAAGGTGGTTGGTGAAGCGGTTGAAGAGGGGAACCAGTGGCTGAAACCTCAGCTGCTTAATTACTGTTTATGGTGGGAATGGGGCAACTGACAGTTTTGACCAGAACATTCCTGGGGTTAGAGTGACTGTCACTTCACTGAGATTACAGACACGAGGTTTTATTGCAAACAGTTTTGGCTGTGGTGTGTAATGGGGATCCTGGCTGGCAGGTTGGCTTCATCGGACCTGCCGATTGTGCTGATGTGCCCTTGTCACAGGTTGGGAGGTAAAGGGTACCCGCTAAGCACGCAAGTGCTAAAGTGTCTCCTGTCATCTCTGCATCTTGCGACCGGCTTGCTGCATCCTTGCAGCCCCGTGAGGCTGGATGCTGTGGCTAGTGTCTTGGCACTTGCAAAATGGACCACGCTTGACTTGCTTGGGTGCAGAGCTGCTGTTTGCCCTAGTTTTGGAAAACAAGGGATGGGGCGTTACTTGGTTATCACCTTTCCTGAGGTGGAGACAGCCAGTCCTCAGAAGCTGACTGCTCCTAAAACTTGTGGTATTTGAGGTAGGATGGTGATATGATCTATTAATTTTTCTCTTTTGTTGTGTTTTTCTACATTCCAGGAAGGGTGCTTGTGGCCTTCAGAAAGCTCGGTTTCGCGCCAGGGTGCTTCAGAGGTACAGACAGTTTTCTTACTCTTTCCTGTTACGTATGTTTGGCTGCTCTCAAATACATGCATCTATTTAGTAAATAAAGCTTTTTCAGTGCAGACCAAGAGCCAGGTTCATGTGGACATCTGAGCCTGCCTTAACTCCCATTCCAAAAATGCTTACGAATTTTTCATTAAAAGAATGACATTCTACCTACCTGACACCTCATCTCCGTCTACAGCTTCCTATATCATAATAGGCATTCACAGGTAAGTGGCAGAGGCGAGTCTCGCACACAGTGGCTCAGTAGATTGAGTATTCAGTGGAATCTGTGAGACCAGTTGCTCTTCTCCCTGTGTTTTACCTGGATTTACAACAGATATCCTATCACCAGTGTCTCCCATCTTCCGGCTAGTACAGATCCCTGGGCTGAGTGATAATCTGTGGGTGTGTTGCTCCAAGTGACCCAGCTCACATGCATCAAACAGTGAATCTTCCTGGTGACTGACCTGGCATCTGTGAGGCTTGGGGGCTAAAGACCCTGTATGGAGCCAAAAATGAGAAGAGCAGTTTGATAGATCTAGATCTAGGAAGCTGGTGTGCCTCTGGATCTGGGCTAGACCAAGTGAGGAGCAATTGCTTCACACGGGGAGTCTTGAACTCTTCCTCTTGTAAGGCCTGACGTTCTCCAGGGCTTAATATGCTGGGGACATTTTTTCCACTCACAGTGCAGAAGCCTTGCAGGTCTTTGCCGGAGGCTGAGAACTGAGGGGGAGGAGGACACCTGATACACTCTGGTAGCGAAGGCGTGAGATATGCCAGGCCTTTACAAAATGTACTAAAATGACCATCTGAATTCTTTGGTGATGGAGGGTATTGCATTTATTCTGAGTAGGAGGGGCAGGCTCAGACTGCAGCTGAAATTCAGTATTGAGACATTTTTGTAAACTAGTTAATTATCAAGACTAGAGAGAGAGGGTCTCCTATGTACAGAAACAGAATTTTTTTTTCTCTCAGCTCTGCATGTTTTAATGTCAGAAGAAGCTGTGTGAGGTCTCGGTCTTCCTTCGTGAACCTGTTCTCAAGTATCTTGTGTTAGCTCCTTCCTGCAACTCCCACCTCTTCTTTTCACGTGCACGCGTGCACAGTATCTGCTGGGTTTAATATTTTAAGATAGGTGGCAAAGAGAAGTATTTTCTGTTTTATCGGCTCTTCGTAAATACAGAGCACTCACAGTGCTTTGCTCAGATGTGGAATCACATGTGTGTCTCTTCCCATTTCAGATCATGTATGCTCCAAGGTCCAGAGACAGGTTTACCGCCCCATCTTTCATGCAGCGGGACCGTTTCAGTCGCTTCCAGCCCACTTACCCTTACATGCAGCATGAGATTGACCTTCCTCCAACCATCTCCCTCTCCGACGGGGAAGAGCCACCGCCATACCAAGGCCCGTGCACCCTGCAGCTCCGGGACCCAGAACAGCAGATGGAGCTCAACCGGGAATCTGTCAGGGCACCACCCAACCGAACCATTTTTGATAGCGACTTGATAGACATCTCGATGTACAATGGGGGCCCCTGCCCACCAAGCAGCAATTCGGGCATAAGTGCAACCAACTATAGCAGTAATGGAAGGATGGAAGGACCACCCCCGACGTACAGCGAGGTCATGGGGCATTACCCAGGCTCCTCTTTTTTCCATCACCAGCACAGCAATGCGCCTCCTCCCTCGCAGAGGGGGAGCAGACTTCAGTTTCAGCAGAACAATGCAGAGAGCACAATAGTCCCCAGCAAAGGCCAAGACCGGAAACCGGGAAACCTGGTCTAAGTTACTCGCCCAGGTGCATTTGAACTGAAGATGAGAGATTCAAGCAGAGCGGTGGAGGAAGACCCCCATGCTCCGGTGCACAATGTTGTTACGTTTCACGTGGTACAACTTAGTAAAACCAAACGTGCAAACCAGTTCTTTGTTTCTGATTCCTTTCAGGGGAATTGCATGCAAAGCAGATTGAAAGAAATACAAACTTCCATTCAGTTTGTCTACGAGCAGTGTTTCGGGGAGAGGGGGGGATATATTATTTTTTTTAATAAACTATTTCAATTATTTAATTCTAAAAGTTAACTTAGCACAGAAATGAGGCTTGCACAGCCTGTTTTATACTCACTCAATGGCAGAAGGAAGAAGGTGGTTCTGCTAGATAAATGGGGGAAGAATTGGCCAGTTTGCTTTTTTTTTTTCCTCCCAGGGTGTGGATTTTTTTTTAATATGAAACAAAATTCCTGTTTTGTGTGCCAAGGTATAAAGTTGAGAACTTAGATGAATGCAAGGAATTAATTTGTGTTGTGATAAATGTGTTTTAAAAAGTTGCACTATCTTAATGTTTTAAAAAAATATATATGAGGGAACTGTTTTATGTGAAGTTCTTCTATATGTTGTCTTTTCACCTGTGGAATAAGGATAGAGCCCCAGAAGTAATCTGGAGGAGTTTGCCCCCCTCCCCTCCCCGGGTTTGCTAGAAAAAGGGGACAGGACTTAGCCTAACATCTCTTGACTTTTACAAATCAAGAAATACAGGGACACTTAACTTGTCTTGCAATAATTTGCATTCAAATAACAGTGCGTCAATGAAGTGTCTTGGAGACTTTTGGATGGAAGAAGGCAAATACGAAATCCCAGCATTTTCCATCACTTAGGGTTTAGCTGTTTTGCAGTGCAGACTATTTGTTTCGTAAACAGCAAAACAAAATCCCAGATGTGTTAATTTGTATCGATTCTAACTAAGTGCTGCCATCCTTTTCCTTTTCGTAATGCAGTATCGCCAGTACTTAATGGTTTTAGAGATTTTTGTCCTCACTGTAGGCTGAAATGTATTTAGTCACATATCATGACATTATGCAATAAATGGTTTAAAAATGCAAGGTGGGTTTTTTTCCCCTGCAATTGCTGTTAAAATATGTGAGACTCTGTTGTGCTTTTCGCTCTCCGTTTCATCCTTTAGATACTGAAGTTCAGCCCTGGAGATCCATCCTGTTGAAGTGAAGGGGCCTTCATAGCTATGACACCCCCTTCCCCACCCCCTGCCATGTTTCCGCAGCAGTACCGAGGGCGCTGGTGGCAGTGGTGCTGGCTTCTGTGGCGCCCCGGGCAGGGATGTGGGAGCACCCGTTGCTCTTGCCGCAAACCGTTTTGGGTAAAGGCGGCGTGCAGGCGTATTAACTCAGTCTCTGTAAGCCCTAGTTTTGCCATGCTGGTCTTAAGAGTAGTTGGGAGACGTTACCTGCCTGGAAAGCGGCACGTGGGGGATTTCTTCCCCGGCTGTTTCTGCGTGGAAGCACAGGCAGCGCTGGAAGGCAGTTGACAAACGGTGGTAGTGGCCTCACAAGCACATGAAAAAGCACAACTTGCACTTAAAATGCATTTTGGAAATGGACTTAAAGTAAGAACCTTTAGAGTCTTAGCTTGAATAGTTTCTAATATATATGTGTATGTGTGGGTGTCATAGACCTTTTCACTTTAAGATCTTTCACTTTTTTTCTATATTTTCTTAAGCCTTGTGCTTGGTTACGGGCAGCAGCCACTGAGTGCCCTGAGCGCGCCGTGGAGGGGTACCGTGCCCAAGCGCCTGGTCCCATGGCTGGAGGCTGGATTTCTGCAGGACTTCTGCACCCCAGGGGCTCTGATAACTGAAGTGCATCTTTGATCTATGCAGAGTTTTAATGCCAAAACAGTATGCGTGTCTGCGTGTGTGTGTTTTACGAGCCTCAGTGTAGATTATTTTCTTCATAAGGTTAATTTGGTTTTATTCTAGCTTAGAACATGTTTGTGTAACTGTTAGTCTGAATATGCAGCCTCATTTGTCTCTGTAATTGTTTTTTTGGTCTGAGTCACGCTGGTAATGCAGAGTAAAGCTGCCTTCTAATGTGTGTGTTATTTGAAGGGAGAGAGAGAGATTGTATGATGGGATTCACTTTCTTTTTTAATTTTTCCCCCCACTCAGACTCGCGGGACGGGTGTTTAGGAGATGACTAGGTGGCTGTCGGTCAGCTAGGGCTCTTGTCGTGTCTGGTTCCTGGGAATAAAAGCTGTGAAATCAGATTTTTGCAACAACCTTTGAACATAATTCTTAGTTAAAAAAAAAAAAAAAATACAGAAGACAAAACCAGAAAATGTTGGTTTTGGTGTTCAGTGACTTTCATTGTCCTGCAGAAGTGAGCTTTTAAGTCACAGAATGTGTGTGCCTACACAGATACTGTGCTGTTGCCTCAATGAGGATTATTTGGCGGAGAAGCCTTTAGGCGAGAACTCATTTGTCATGGCAGAGCACACCTGGACTGGGCCCTGGGCCTGGACTGGTTGAGTACCAACTTTTCCCCATGCACAGATCTCAGCGAAGCGAGCCTTGAAGTTGCCTTCAGTGTCACCCCTTGGGAACATGCTTTCTTCGAAGACAGCCCTTCGCCATCTTTTGCCATCCCTGCATGCCAGTGGATTTATGCACTTCCCATTAACGTTGTCCCGTGTGATGCGTGCACTGTTGTCTCTTAATTTTTCTCAACTGAGGACATGTTTCTTTGCGTGGAAAATGTTCCGGTTCTGTAGAAAAGATTTGTTTAAAAAGAACTTAGTATTTGTTCACCTAGCGGTCGCATTTCCTCTTGCATCTTTGCCTTCTCATCGTGTTCTGCTGTCCAAAGCTAGCGTGTAGCCAATATACCTGTCAGCTCTGAAAGCGGAGTCACCTGCTGCTTGCAGTCTGCTACTCTTGTTTTGGGGCCTCTTAGAGGAGTCAGTATTCTGTGATGAATATTAGTGGTCTCCAGTGGGGGCGCTGTCAATGGTATAGCATTGCAACAGTGTGTGTTTTCTCTTTCTATTTTTTCCTTTGTTGCAGTGAGAGAGAATATGCCCTTGCTAACAGAACAGAATGGTCAAAGAAGGGATATTAGAATTAGATAACAGTATCAATCTACAGGCTTAGAAATCGGCAGTCTCTGAAGACAGGTAATTCTATGAAGCGTTCATGGAAAACTCACTTTGAAAATATCCAGAATTAATAAACTATTCCACAGCCACTCAAATGAAGCTTTGTAAATTATAAGAGATTTCTGCAAACACTGCAGAGTTAATCATGTAGATCATACCTTCGTACTGGCGTTCCAGTTTACGTGCATCATGCACAAACCCCACATAATAGCTGTGCATGGAGTTTTCGATGTGATTGATCATATTAGCCTGAATTCTGGTTGCATCTCCTGACCTTTGCCTAGTAACCCATCTTCCCAAAGTTCAGTCCAGTGATGTCCCCGCTTCAGAAATTTTCAAATTAAAAGATTTGGTTTTTTAAATGTACCTTTAAGAAATAAAGCATTATGACCTCTATCCTACCGCAAAGGATAATTTCTCCCTTGTGTGTTTTGGCATGGCTCCCATCTTGGTGCCAAGTGTGCCCCATCTTTGATGTTTTCCTATGATCTTGCAGGGCTAGAAAAGGCAGGGGGTTTAGCAACAGAGAAGAGGGTGTCTTATCCCAGTTTCCCGATGGAGCACTCAGCACTTGGCTCTAATTCTGGATGTGCATTTAGCCTGGTTTTGGTTGGGTTCATTTCAGTGCTGTACAAGCCGGCTCTGTGTATGTGGCGCTGCTTACAAGATGTGAGTGAGGGATGTGAGGGCTCGTACCCAGTTGACGGGGCGGTGTTCAGATCCCTTTCCTGTAGCGTGTGGCATGTGCAGAATTCACAGTACTTTATCTAATAGTTGTTCTTGTCAGGGAGGGCCTCCTTAAGCTACTCCTCGTCTTGTCACTGATGAACTTGGCACTTAACCCAGTCTCGGTCTGATGTGACTTTATTACAGCATGCTTTTTCCTTCTAAGTATGAAAACTCAGGTGCGTGGCCCATGTACAGGTTCCTGATGGCTCGCGAGGAAGGTAGTTACGTTCCTGCAGTCATGGAACCTGCGGGAACCATGGGTCAAGCTGTGCTTCATTTGGGTTTTTTCATTGCTTGCCCACTTCTCCCACCAGTTTATCTCAGCTGGAAACGGCTTCTGGTATCCCAAATCTCTGAATTTTTGTGTTGCAGAAATAGGGGGAAAATGTCACTGAGTTGTTTTTTTATTTTTTCCTGTGAACGTGGTTCAGGGAAGGGCAAGGAGTGAAATGACGTTGTTTCTGGAAGAATGCACTTTCTTTGCAATAGGGAAGAAAGCCTTGTCCTGCTGGAGAGCCCCATGCGCAGGCTGTCTGAAGCGGTCGTTTCTAACCCTGCCAGGCAGGGAGATATTGGACCTTAAAAGTGATGCTCTGATTTGTGAGGAATGTTTGTAATGGTTTGGAGAAGATTGATTACTAACCTTTCTCTGACTCTGAGCCCCGAAAGCTCATGGTAACTAAGGTAGCCTGATTTCATAGGCAAAGAAAAGGAAAATAGTATGCTGGTGAAAATAGGTATGCGCCAAAATTGTTCTTTGCTTTTTTTGCCCTTTTCCGCCCCCCCCCTTCTTCCCCCAGGGATAAACAATAGGCTTGCTGGTACCTTTGAAGGTATTTAGGATTATTCACAAGTTCTCTCTGGCCATTACCATTAAGTCATGCCCGTGCACATGTGTGTGTATACATGCCTGCATGCAAACTTGCACCTGTATCCTACCCCTTAATTATATATTGGTTACTGTTCCATAATCTCCTTCCAGAAGTGCTAAATGGCTATATATTGTGCTCTCAGGAACGATGACAGGTCATTTGTCAAAACAGCTGGAGGCATGAGGAGTATTTGCTTTTCAGTCCTGTAAATGTACCGGCCCTGTTTTTGTCATCAGGGGAGTTTCTTGCTGGGCAAATTCTTGCCCATGACCTGGTGCGCTAGTGCATCTTCTGTGCCACAGTGTTCTCCTTTTGGGTGAGCTTTGAAAAAATCCTCCTGCTTTTGGGACAACCCTGATGTGGACCTCGTACTGGCGTAGAGGAAGGAAATTTACTTTGTGTACTCTAAATCTCAGAAGCATGTTTGTTCAAACCTAGCCCATGCTGAGAACCAAGTGATCCATTTGTACAGGGGGGTCGTATGAAGGCTGGCTTTTGATTATGTCTTTGCTTTATAGGTAAAGTCTGTTGCAAATAACTTAATTACACATATCTGGTCTTTTCCCACACTGCGTTGCCTGCTTGCCAACCAGTGCGATTACAACTTTTCTCCTAAACTAGCCCCAAGTGCATCAATTGTTGAAATCCCTGGGAAGAGGCACTCTTACTGGATTGCCTGAGACCTGCTGAGGTTTTTTTAGAGCATGGAGAAGTCCCTTGTGAGGACATCTTGAACTTACAGAGGTTTCCTATCTGAATGCTCTGTTCTGCTTGTTTCATTAGGAAATTGAAGTTTAAAGTTTTGAGAGTGGCCCAGTGGAAAATGTTGGTTGGTAAGATTATTTTTTTTTTTTTTTAATACTTAATATATTGTTTGCCAGTCTGTGCTCATTAATCAGGGGTGTAAATTACCTTTTGACCCACCTCCGATTGCCATTGCTATGCTGGCAAAAGCCCCATTGGGCACGCTTGCACCAGCAAGAGAGAGTCATTTTCTTGGTACGGCTCCTCCTGGGGAATTAGCAGAAGCTGCCCCACTGAGTTCAGCCTCCAAAACCAACATCAGAGCTGCGCTGCCTCTTCCCAGCAAACTCAAGCGTAGGTGGTGGCGCAGTTTCGATCAGGTGCTCTGCTCCGCTAGCAAGTACCACAGACAGGCTGGTGGAGGAGTCTACTGGTGTCTCCTTGAAATCACAACTATTTGCATGAAATATATTTCCGGGCCGCTAACGCTGGCTTTGTAACCGCTCACGACATTTCTTCTTCTTCGAGAGGGAAAAACCAAGCCCGATGTTGTACTGAGAAGTGTTGCAGACTCTCCTGGCTCTTACTTCTGCCTCGCTGTCGTCTCTTCCGTTTTTAGACTGAACACGGGCAACCCGGTAGAGCTAGCATCGCTTTCCTGCTCTAAAAGAGCTGACCTTTTTATGTTGGTTAACAATAAAGAAGCAAACTCGACGCCGAGAGATACTTCCCCCTTCCCTCCGACAGCCGTGTGATTTACTGCCAGAGCTGGCTCTGCCAGTCCTTTGCTGTATCGCTGCTGCTGCTGCTTGCTGCTGTTTTCCATGGTTTGGTGCGTGAGCTTTCTGGAACAACGTGGTGTGTGTAGGATCTCGTGGGTGACGAAGCTGTCTCTCTTATTCTTCCCTTCTCTCCTTGGTTTGTGCTTGTCTGTCCGCCGTGGTAGGTTTATTAATAAATTATATACGTCCGTATTAGGTATAATTTTGAGGAGGTTTGCATGTCGGTAGTTTGTAAGCAACTAAGGTGCCTCATGTTCAGGTCTGAGCAGATAGGAATCCCCTTGCACTCAAGAGGGCCTGATCCAAAGCCTGGTGAGGTTGGTAGGAAGGCTCTTGCCGACTTAGGGGGCTTTGGATCAGGCCTTACGCTCCCACCTTTGTTGTGCCTCACTTAAAATGGTGCTTTTTCAGTTGTCTGTCTTTTTTTCTGTTGGTTTTTTTTTTTTTTTCTTTGTATGGTGCTGTGTATAACTTGAATATATTATGCACATATCCTACCCAATGGGTAGAACAAACAAACATACAAAAACGAATAGATGTTGTTAATACTGTAAGATAATGTATAGATGATACCAATTTTAACACAAAAAAAAAAAAAAAAAGATGGCATAGACTTTGTGAATGCCAACTTCTGTGCTTGGTCCTTTTTTGTAAGAAAATTTGCAAATGAATGCATACAAATGACAAAAAGTCCATGTATTTTATTTTCCTATTAAATATCAATATAATATCATAAGGGAAAAAGTTTGAACAAATCCTTTTTGACTAGCCTGTGTATAGCAATTGGTCATTTGATGCATCTTTGCTGTGAAGATTTGTTCCTTTTTTTTTTTTTTGATGTGTCACTTTAAGAAAAAGGAAAAAACACAAAACAAACAAAACCTCCACAGCTTTAACCTTGCAACCAGATGCTTCTCATATTGGTTGTTGCCTCCCTATTGCTGAGTTGGACCAGTATTAGTTACTACTTCTCCAGCAGATATGTTATTTATTATTATCCTTGATTACCTTCTTTTAAAAACAAACAACTTAGGAACGGGCTAAAACCTTTCGAATCTTTTTATCCACATCCTAGATTTGAAGTGAAGCTCAGACAAGTGGGAACCGACCCAAACCGTCCCTGCAAAAATCAAAACTAGGCCAAGGGGAGTCTTGTGACCCCAGCCAGCCGCCCCCCCCTGGTCCGGGACCCCGCCGCTGCAAACTCACCTGAGGCTGGGTGCGTAGCTGGGATGCGCTGGTGACCCGTGTGGCTGCAGGGGGGCGAGCCTCAAGGGCAGCCGAAAAAAGCCGCAGCTGGTAGCGAGCTGAACGCAGGGTTTGAACGTGAGCTTGGAGTCAGCAGCGCTGGTGCTGCTGTGTTGGCCTCTGACAGCGGCGGCTTAACCCAGGTTCGTATTTAAGCTTATGGAGAAATGCCTGAACCTGTTCAGACCCAACACGGGGAGCGGTGTGGAAAGCGATCTGATGCTTTTAACTTCCTGCCAGGCTCCCTCGGCAGTTTGGTTCTCCCCCGGCATCTCCATGCGTTTGGCTGTCCGTCCCCGTGCCCCCGCGCGCTCTCGGCGTGGGCTCTGCGGTAAAGCAAATACCTCAGGAAAACCCAACATGAAGTTCTAGTGTAGAGACTTGCAGATGCTGTACTTATTTTTCTAAACTGTTTGTTCTAACTGTCCCAGGACAGTAGGTGGTATAAAAGTGTATCGGTCCGAGACAGACTAGCCCTCTCACAGATGGATGCCGACTAACCTTTCATAGATGCTCGTGTCTATATGTAGCTTTTTTTATACTTGTCAGGCTTTAACCACGGATGTAAGGTATCAACGTGTTGGGATACGTTTGAGATGGCGTTTTTCTTCGGTTTTTCAGATGATTAGCTAAACGCTATGCGAAAACTCAGGGGGCCTTATCCGGGGCCCAGTGAAGTCACGGGTGAGGCTTCCTCTGGTTTGAGTGGGCTTTCGGTCTGGTCCGGCACGCTCGAGGATAGTGCTGTGGAGCACAGTCCTTGACGACTTCTCTGTCGACCTGAAACTTCAGCTATACCTTTGTCTGTAAATATCTTTTTAAAAGCCCTCACAGGAGTCCTGTATCTGAACGTTGGTCATGGTGGTTTTGGGGTTTTTTTGTTTTGTTTTAAAGGGTTTTTTATGGCCAGTTCTGCATCATCAAGCCCTTACAGGTAGCTTGTATCCGTCCCTCTTACGTATTGAGCTGTTTTGTCAGTAAGCGTGTACCATAGGGAAATACACGTATTTCATGAGTGTCATTTGTTGACTCATTTATTGTTTGTCAGGGCATAGAGTAATTGTTTGGGAAGTGCGCCTCGCCTGGCCGTGTTCAGGTTTCTGTTTGCACTGCAGTACCACTTCTGCGCGTGAAGGAAGAAAAACAAACAGAAAACCTCAGGCCTTGCCTAGGAAGACTCTGTACAGAGCAAACCTCCCGCTGGAGGAATCTAGGGTAGGACTTACCGTAAGAAAACTTGCATATTGAGCGGACCAAACGTGAGCAAGTCTCCTCTTGGAGGCAGTGATTTGCTTTGAAGCTGCAGCGGAAGGAGCAGACTGTCTATTAAGTGTACTCACAGCTGCGTCCACGCTTTTCCATTTACCACGAAGCACAGCAGGCAGCCAAGATTGTTTAAAAAGAAGTGTAAGCAGAAGTTATGAGAGCCTCAGGCAACATAGACCTAGCAAAAGTAATAATAATAATAACAGTAATAATAAAAAATCATTTTAATATTCTTTAACAGAGCTTTTCTACTTACAGTACAAAGACTACATAAGCGCTGATCGGGGTTTTATCTTTGTATGGCTATCAACTGCCCACCGTTGCCGTGCTCAGAGCATTTCACGATGGTGTGGACATCAGTCAGGCTGTTACACTTAAGATTAACCATCAAAGGCCTGGTTTTAGAGTGTTGACCCTTTCTTTGTTGTTTCTTGCTAGTTATTTTACAGTGTAAAAATGCTTTATTGCTGTATGGATTTTTTTTGTATTTCCAACGTTGTGGCTTTCAAGATCACATTTTCAACACGTCTCTTATTTTTGTCCATTTTGTTTCAAGCTATTCTGAAATATGTACAGCACTATCAACAGTATTTAATCTTTCTTTTAAATTTTATTGTTGTAAAAACAAAGATATTAAAACCAGTAAGTCTTTTTACAACTGTATTGGAATTTCTCAATAGCTGTTCATGTGACGCTATGACAAACCTGGCTTGCTTTAATATTTTTAAATTTTATTTTCCTTTTAACACAGTTAATTTGTTGCTTTTTTTTCCCACCGTAACTCCCAGTTATATACAGGAAAAGATTTCAACTGTTGTGTATCTGACTTTTAACTGAGCAAATGGTGATGTCCTAGTTTTTAGACCTAAGGTCTGTTTATTGCAATACTTTCAAAGGAAGATGTTGCTCTAAGTGCTGTTGTTAGTTTTAAATACAGATTTTACGCTTGTTCTTAATATGCTGTGGTTAAACCATGGCACAAAATTATTAAAAATCATGAAATGCATTTGTCTCCTGTTGAATTTATTTTCTCTTTGAATTGGAAAAAATAAACCCCAACGAAACAACAAAAAAAAAAAAAGGTGAAATGCTACAGAGTGGCCACCTGTAAAACACGGACTTGTCGTCTTCCCTTGCTGGTTTGCTGCTGGCAGCCAGGGAGCTGCTCATGAAGGGATGGGAGGGTGGGCTCAGCCCCTGAAACCCAGGGGAGGGCCCTGGGAAACGGATCTCCAATGAGGATTTTACATCAGTGTTCAGACTTTCACCTCTGGTGATGAACACCGGGGTGATGTCAGATGTGGCTGCCCTACCTCCCTGCCAGAGGCGGCCCCGTCCCAGCGCTTGCCTCTTGCCCCTGTAGCTGACAGTCTGGACTCTCAGTCTAAGCCACTTGTGCCTTCCATTCCTTCGGGCTACCATTCCTTCGGGCTACCAACACCAGCTCCATCTCATTCGAAGCCCTGGGTGTTGGTGACTGCCCCTGGCACATCAGTGCTGACCGAGCAGCTGGGGGATAAGCAGTGGCCCCAAATCACTGAGTTGCAAAAACTGATTAAAAAATGAACCCCCCCATATGGCTCATGGGGGAGTGGAGGGAAAGCACAGCCTGGTTTAAGAAACCTGGGGCATGCTTTGGGGGTAGTTGTGGTACAGCGTGGGGGGGAAGGGAGGGATGGCACATTTAGTAAGAAACTAGACAAAAGGGTCCCGTGACAGACACTTGTCTTTGGTAAGACGGATCTTTGCAAGGTAGATCAAACTACCCATGGCTGGTACCTGTCACTTTGTCACTCTGAAGGTTAACAAAACAAGGAAAGTTTTGTGGTGGTGGGTTTTTTGTTTTTTTTTTTTCCCCCCACAGAGTTCTGGTTAGGCATAAGTATAAAGTGATGCTTTATTTAGCATGATCACTAATGAAATAATTTTCTTCTATTTTATACCTGTGCTTGCTGGAGCTTGGCCTCTCTGTTATTGAGATGTGATGCCGAGCGGGAGGCAGTACTTCAAACCTGGGCCTTCCCCGCAGGTCTGTTTGAGAAAAGAGAGGTCTGCTGCGGGAGCCGCAGTCCCAGCCTGTTCCTGGCCACCCTGCTTACGGAGCAGCCTTTGCATCGCCCTCAGACAGAAACCAGGGGGTGCTCCCCTTGCTGCTGTTCTTTTCAAATGGCTTGGAGCTGCAAATGTTACAATACTTATTTTTAGTTCAAAAGTAAGCGTTTTCTTTTCTTCTAACCACCCTGCGTTAGCTCTCCTCCATCTACGGCATTTTAATTCTTCTTTAGTACTTAGGAAATTGCTAGTTCCTTAGTGCTTAGAAGTGCTCCAAATCTCCAAGCTTCTGCTCCTCCTCTACGGTCTGAACCCTGAACTCCCTGGAAACTGCATTTTTTTCTGGGCCTGCTTTGATCTTTTGCTTAATCTGGTTTTAATTGTATTTATATTTGTTTTATAATATGCCATTCTGTTTGATTGTGTTTTAATATCTCTGCCAATGGTTGCAGCTCAGAACACGGCTATAAATGGGATGTCTCATCTCAGTAGGGTTACTTTTTCCTGTTAAAAGATTAATACAGTGGCTGCTGCAGCCCTGTGAAACCTCTAGGTCTGGCTTCCAGGCTCCCAGCAGTATTGCGTCTCATTACAAACACCCTGTTTTTAACATCCCAAACCCTTTTCTTCCAAAGACCCCTCTGTAATGAGACTTCATTACTTAGACAAAAATTAATTAGGCTTCTCTCATTATCACTGTTTTGATCAGTGGTGCTTTAGATGAGGTCTAATTAAAATGCACATTTTAAAAACCTTACTGCTGAATCCTATTCTAATAGCTTGCTTCTACCGCAGCGGTGCCCTGCTTTTGTGGAGTTTGCATTGTGCCACTTACACAGAAGTCTAGCACCAACTAGGATAAAAACTTCGACTTTGTAAATTTTTTTGCTTGTTTTCTACTTTTTTTTTTTTTTCCAGATTGACTGCCAAATGATTGCTCCTGAGAGTGGGGATTAGAGCTGAGATACCCAATTCTTTACATGTGGTACGAACGATGAGCTGAGTTTCTCGGTGTCCTTTATAGTCGGTAACGTTACTTGTCCCCATAATG